AATCGATCCGTATAGTAATGATATCATCGAGAGCAAATGACGAACCATTGGCACTCGACTCTTATATTAACTTATCTGCCGTAACGCACTTCCGTTGCAATTATACGGATTTACACACTAGTCGCGCCTAAAGAAGTTTTAATTCAAAAATAAAAATCCACGTACTTTTCATATATAAAGTTTTTATACTGGTCCTGGTAAAGTTACTGATTTTTTTATCTTAATTTCTATTATATTTTTTTGAGAAGGAGTATACAATAACTCGCCAGTAGGTCAACAATTCACAAACCTCTTAACAAAAATCTCCTGTATCATTTCGATTTTGTTCCCGACGTGTGTTCCTAAGTACTGGGCGTATATTTGTTCGGATTTTATTCCTTCGCCTTTGTTTTTATTATTTTTTTGGCTACATATAATCCCCATATATATATATATATATATATATATATATATATATATATATATATTAATACATACATGTTGTTTTTAGTGTGAGTTTGTATGTTTGTCTGGGATTGTCTCTCTCTTTATATATATTACACCTCTTGTGGTGGATTGTGGGTACTCTTGTGTATCGAACCGTGTTGCCACTGACACGTCTCTCCTAAAATGCTCTCTCGAATAGAGAGAGAAATGCTTTATAAAGGATTCCATCCGAACGGACAAACGATACTGTTGCTATTAGGATAGATTCACATGGGAATGATTCCTTTTGCATTCATTAATTACTGCCTCCTAGTTTGCTGTGACTCGTAGGGTAGGCCGGTGAAAGCCCAGTGGTCTGCCAATAAAATTTATTACGAAATATTATTTATGCGCGACTAAGGTGTGAATCCGTGCAAATGCAACAAAATTGCGTTACGGCAAGGTCGAGTGCCAATGATTCGTCATTCGCTCTCGATGATATCATTTCTGTACGGGTCGATTGTGATTAGTCGTCGTGTATATGAATATAGATCTGTCGTTGTATGCGTACCGATATCAACAAGGAAATCGACATAGATAGATAAATAAACATTTTAAAGTTACATCGTAGTACAAATCTTAATTCAATGAAAAATGCCTGAATCAGAAGAATATTTTACCCTGTTCTTTGAAAATAATAAAACAAATTAAATATCTGAGCCGTGTACTAAACGTAAGTTTATTGATTATAAATTATTTCTATATTATTCGTAGTTTCTATAAACCTTTGAAGTTATCAAAATGGAAAATATTTTTTGGACAAGACAGATATTACAGCTGTTCAAAGAATGATATTATATCGCCAGCGAAAAAGTAAAAAAAAATACAAGCAGTCAATGAATGTATGTTAATTTTAATTACATGAAGTTCTTCAAACACAAATATTATATGATGATGAGTGAAATTGTGAAAACAATATTTGTTTAGGCGCAAATATTAAAGAATTTATTAATCAGCAATTACTTCATTAATCTAATGAAAGTTCATTTCTAAATGCTAATTACAACGACAAACCGATCATGTTATATTTGAAGTATGACTTTAATTACAGTATAGTTTTTAAATATTATACACATTTTTAATGCTATTATAAATATATAATTTATAATTTATCATTATATAAATGTGTATAATGATTGACGACACTAATAAATGTGTGCATCACGAGTGTTACCATATTACTAATAAACATTATTCAAAATTGTTTTAGGATGTATTTATTTTTATTTAGTAAAAATTTGAGTATATTATAAATCTTACTTAATTTTGTTGTCAACTGGTTTTCATCGATGTTACAGACAAGATTCCATGGAAATTTTTCGATAATCGAAACAAGTTTTCATCCGACCACACACTTTCGATAATATCTTGTTTAAAATCGATATTATATAATATTGATAGACAAAATAAAATAAGATTTTTGCACTGAGGAATGTGATTTTACTTTTCCGAAAATAAATAGAAATATATATATATATTTAAATACTAGTATGCAGTTTAAAATTTTAAGCAATTTTGCCCATTTTTTAAATTAGATAAATGTATTAAGACTTGGTCTTAATACATAAATATTTATATATATATATATATATATATATATATATATAAAATAATAAAAATTCACTCACCATAATAATCGCCTTAATTCTCAGTATCCTGAAAATTAAAAAAAAATAAAGTTAGTCATTATTTAAAAATTAATTTTAATAGGACGTCTAGGATTTTGATTGAATTCTATACAAATACATATAATATAATAATATAATAATTAATATTAGTGTTATTGTGAAATAGATATTAAGTCACATAGAAATGTATATAAGTAGAGAAGAAGACAGGTATACAGGTATACAGGTAAACAGGTAGAAAAGTAAAAATTAAGAGAAGTAAACAGGTAAACAGGTGGAAAAGTAATTCATTAACAAAACAAATTATAATTGATTAAATCGATTTTCACACTATGAGGAGGTCAATGCAATTTGGCATAAAGCAACTTTATTCAATTTTATTTTTGCATAAAGTTGGTTTTCATAATATATATTTAGGGATCTCCTAAAACCGTACTGCTTAAATTAGAATGCTATAATTTTAGTATATTGTACCACGAACTATACGTTTTAATACCTAGTACTTAAATTTTGAGTAAATAATTTGTTTATATTATGAAAAAATCCCAAACCAAAATTTGTACCCATGCGTCTGAATTTCTTGACTCAAACTTAAGTTTTCTTCGGTTTTTGGTTAAATACTATTAATGGAAATTAAAAACTTGATTCCAGTCTTTTGTATATTTCTACAAGCTTTTAGCAACAATATTCTGAATTTACTACTTTTTAGCATAAACTGTAAGGTACAAAAAAAATCTGTAAAATTTATGCAAATATTTTGACACCAATACATAATTTTGAGTACGTACATATACGTGTACATTTTTAAGAAGCTTTTCTGACCACTGTTTTTGCAAAATATAACTTAAAATTTTGGTAAAATATTGTATAATAGTTATAATTTAATACTGCATACGAAAAATGTATATTTGTTAAATTTAAAGAGTTAATAAAATAAATGCCGAACAAGTACTCTCGATTTAAGACTGAAGCCTTTGATATATACTTTATGTATTTTTCTAATATTTAACATAAAAAATATAGATTTTTTAACTTCCCATAGGGTAGTTATAATAATAGACCAAAAATCGAAAATGAAAATTTTTGCATTTCTCAACGTTTTGAAGGTTTCTGAACATTTTAAGGCATACCTCAGAAAAAATGGATGTGTGTGTGTGTATGTATGGATACAATTTTCCAGTCACGTTTTGGGCGCACGAATCAACCGATTTGAATGGTTTGAAAAACATACGATTCCTATTGATAAGGAGACGTACTGATTAGTTTTTGGTAAAGGCAGGTCCAGCCGTTACGGAGATACGGAACAAAGAGTGCAGAAAATACAAATCGAGTTTATGAGAGAACGGAGTAATGTATTTGAATGATTTAAAAAACATTCATTTTGTAATGATTGGGAGAAGAGGTGATTAGTTTTTGACAAAGACAGGTCCCGCCATTTCGAAGACACAGAGCTAAATGTGCAAAAAATGGCAGTTTTTGAGTGAACTAAGCGTCCGATTTGAATGATCTAAAAAACTTTCTGCTTGTATTGACAAAACAATTGCTTTTGAAGATAAAAAATTATTACTTTTATCTTTTTTATTTTCTATAAAACATTTGTGTAATTTTGTATTAAAAATTAAAAAAAAGACCCGGAATAAGCACATTCTAAGCGCCACTCTGGTACAAATGTTTACCCGAGTGCGTTTAGACTGTTTATGTACTGCAAAGCACTTTTCCAATTTTGTGAAAACTATTGAAAAATGTGAAAATGCCGCCAAGCTAAGCACAGTATAAGTAAAAATGTTGCACAGAGTTATTCCAAAGCCCAAAAGTTTAGTAGTAAAATTATGAAAAATCAAATTATTCACAAAGACCCTGGGCTTTCTCCATTATTTCTAAATGATGATAATTATTAATATAACTTTAAGTTAAGCATTTTTTCAAAGTGTGTAGAATGAGTAGATATATTTGTGTAAATATGACTTTGCTGAATTATTGTTTAAATGTAAAAAATATAAAAGTGTCTTGAAATCTCGAAGGGAATTTTTAAAAATTCATAGATTCCTGTTTTGAAAAAATCCAACTACATTTTGTTCATATTCTCGGGCTTGTAGTTTATTTCTAAAGCAATATAAGAATAAATAGTCTTAGTAAAGATTTCAGAAAATTCTATCTAGATTCTAGTCTTTAGACCAAAAAACTATCTTAATCGAAAAAAAGTTACGTTAAAAAAATATGAAAAATAAACAGTGCATACTTAATATCAAATGCTTTTTGGTATAAAAGTCCACTTAAATTTTGTTCATGTTCTCGGGTTTGTAGTTTATTTCTAAAGCTATATACAAAAATATAGTCTTAACAAAGTATTTAGGAAATTTTATCTAGATTTTATCATCCTTAGACCAAAATTATCTATCTTGATGCAGAAATAAGTTATATTCGCAAAACACCAAAAATGTGCTGTGTAAACCATCAACAATTTTGTGAAAACGAAAAATCTATTGAAAAATGTGAAAAATGTGCCAAGCTAAGCACAGTATAAGTGAAAATGTCGCACAGAATTATTTGACAATGCGTTTAGACTGTGGAGCACTTTTTCAATTTTGTGTAAATTAGACAACAATTTTTTTTTGAAATTGAATTCTAAATGAAATGACAATTGTTAATGTTCTGGAGATAAATTGATTTATGATTTACATTTGATTTGCTCAGATTTGTAACAATATAATTGAAAGCGTTTAAAATTTCTCGAACATTTCGTTACGGTACGGGAAGTTCCAGCAATTTGCCTTAAGGCACGATGCCATACACCACTAGTTTATCCCTTCTCTACCATACTTATTACTATATAACCTGAAATAAGGCGACGCACGCGCTCAGTGCCGCATAAACAACCGAAGCGGCCGAAACCATAAAAGACACATTTGTTATTAAATAAATTTAATTAAAAATTAATTTAATTAATAATACGATAAACAATTAATACAAATAATATATAGGTTTATTGGAAATCGAACTAGTTCAAGTTAAAAAATAAAAGTGATCGTGGAAGTGTTTTGGACAGTTTTTTTTTGAACAGTTGTTATTGTTTGAAAAGTGAAAATGAAACCAATCGGGATTTATGAATTTGTGGTAAGTGATGGAAACATGCAATATTATGAACTAGTTGGTGGTGGTATTTTGCCTTGAGGCAAGTTACATGAACTTTCCGATATGTGTAAATAAGCGACTCAATCAATAAAAAATAAATTAATTTAAGAGTGACTAAAAGTATTCCCAGTGGATTTATTACACATAATTGAAAACGAATGAACACGTTAACTCGGAGTATTTTCTTAAAGCAAATTTTCACAAATCAACAATGTTTATAATTGAACCAGTTTCTGTAAGACTTTAATGATTTAGTATGTGCATTGAGACCAAATACTCTATCGTTATACCAAGTAAATCATCTAATTTTAATTTTAACTATAACTACTCATTTTCTCAAACTTTGATGAATTTTTAAAATTAAACTACTTGTCGTAAGGCCATAATATTTCAGTAAGTTCTATAAGACCATGATATATACCACCAAAAAAAGTTCCTTAAAAATCGTCTTAATTTTTTTTTTCAACAGTTAATTACAAGAAAACGGCTCGGTGGATTTTCACCTAAAACTAATCAGTACCATTCCCAACTAATATCTTTCAAACAGTTTTTGATTTTTTAAAATCGATTCGGTAGTTTGAGCTTAAATGTGGACGAAAAGCTCAACACTTTTTTCCAAATTACAAAAAAACGGCTTGGCCGATCGTCTCACAGAACTGACAAACGATAGTCCTCATTGAGATACATCAAATGGCTTTTAAATTTCTGAAATCGGTTCAGGCGTTTTTGAGAAAACGTCGATGAAAGGTCTAGTTTTGATAAATGCCAAAAAACGATACTAATTTTTGCAAACTTTAAAGAATTTTTAAAATTAAAGGACTTGTCGTACGACCGTAATATTTTAGTATGATCTACAAGACTATGGTATCTACGGTCAAAAAAAAAATCATAAAAATCGTCGAAATTTTTGTTGTAAAAACTTTATTACAAGAAAACTTATATAGTCTTTATCGATTTTGAAATCGATCCAGCAGTTTTTGAGAAAACGTCGATTTGCGTCGAAAAATCTGTTCACACACATACGAGACACACACACAAATACTTTTTCCAAATTTTGTCTCATTCGATCCAGAATGGCTTGAAACGTCAAAAAAACATAAAATTCAATAATAAATTATTATATTGTTAATAGAGTCAAAATTATTGTTCACATATTTTGCTATAGTATTCTTTCGTTATAATAATTTGACTTTGATAATAGATTTTTCTGAAATTATTATACACAGAAGCTCTAAGTTAAATATGTGATGCTTAAAGCATTATTTTAAATTTATAAAATATTAAATAACTAAATTTTTAACGAAAAGTCATTTTTATTAAATATTTAATGAAAAGAAAGAGATCGATTTTGCTCTAGAATTTTGTATAACTAAACAATTTTGTATAATTAGACAATTTTGACTTCAAAAATTATTTTTTCTGTATTTATTACACATACAAAGCTGTACTTTTAATATGTAATACTTAAAACATTGTTTTAATATATAAAATATTAAACACCAGTATTTCAAGTGCAAAATATTTTTTATTATTTTTTAAAACGAAGAAGTCCATTTTGCCCTCGAGTTGTTTTGATACAATAATTTAATGCGATTTTAAAAGTTGATTTTTTATGGATTAATTACTCCTACAAGGCTATAATTCGAATATGTAATACTTCAAACCTGTTTTTAAATAAATAAAATAATAAACAATATAAATGTAATAAAATAATTAGATAAAATTATTAGCTGTAAAAGACCACTTGGTTGCAAGTAGTATAAAATCAATTTTGTTAATAATTATTTTTTATTTTGTTAGTAATTAATTTTTATTGGTTACTAAATTTTATTTTATCTCATTTGTTGCACTGTGGCAATTTATATTTTAAAAAAATATACATTATAAAATTAGGTATGTTTAATATTTTTAATATTTAAGCAAATGTTTAATATATTACATATCTAAATTACAGCTTTTTATATACAAAAATAAAATAATGATACTATATTTAAAGTCTTGAAACAGATTTTATACTAAGATTCATGCAACTGAGTTACTAAATGTTATTAAAATTATATTAAATTTCATATATAAAGATGTTTAGTATTTTATATATTTAAAATAAGGTTTTAAGTATAATATATCCAAATTACAGATTTATAGGGATAACAGATATTATATAAAATAATTTTTAAAATTCAACTACATTTATTAATATTAAGCATAAATGATGTATAGAGAGCTTATAAAGTGTTTATTTTATAAAATTTATAACTTATAGTATTTTATATATTTAAACAAATATTTGAAGTCTCACATATCCAAATTAGAGATTGTAAACAATAATATTAATATATTAAATCAATTTTTAAAATTCACATTCTGTATGTTGAAGACAAATAAGTCGATTATGTATCTAGGCTAATAAAGTATTTATTTTATATATTTTATAACTTATAGTATTTTATGTATTTAAACAAATATTTGAAGTCTCACATATCAAAATTTGAGCTTTCTAGGATCAATATTAATATATTAAATCAATTTTCAAAATTGACATTCTCCATGTTAAAGACGAACAAGAAGATTATGTATTTAGGCTGTTTAAGAGCTTATAAAGTGTTTATTTTATAAAATTTATAACTTTTAATATTTTATATATTTAAACAAATATTTGAAGTCTCACATACCCAAATCAAAGATTTTTAACTATAATATTATTATATTAAATCAATTTTCAAAATTGATATTCTGCATGTTGAAGACTGAAGAAGATTATGTATTTAGGCTGTTTAAGAGCTTTTAAAGTGTTTATTTTATAAAATTTATAACTTATAGTATTTTATATATTTAAACAAATATTTGAAATTGCACATATCCAATTTTGAGCTTTCTAGGGGTAATATTAATATATTAAATCAATTTGCAAAATTGATATTCTGCATGTTGAAGACGAACAAGAAGCTTATCTATTTAGGCTGTGTAAGAGCTAATAAAGTGTTTATTTTATAAAATTTTTGACTTAAAGCATTTTTTATATTTGGAACAATATGCAAGGTAAAACATATTCAAATTATAGCTTTTCAGGGCTAATACTTATAAAATAACACAATATTTAAAATGTACCTAATTTTACTCATACAAGCCACCAAATTAGTGATGTATTAATACTTTTGATAGCTTATAACGCATTTATTTTCCAAAATTTTTAACTTTTACCATTTTATATATTTAAACAAATATTTAAAATATTACATATTCAAATTACAACTGTCTAGGCCTAAAAACACCCAAAATCTGGATTTTCGAACCAAAAAACTCAATTTTTCTATACTCACAACAGTTTTTGATTCCTGAACAATATTTCTATTACCCATAATATATTATTATATTACCATTAACATAATTGTCCATATTAATGGTTTATTGTTACAAACTCGAGAAGAATATCTAATAAAAAGATACAATTTCAAAAATTATATAATATTATATCACCCATTGTCTTAGAAAAATATTACTCGGCATCCGTTCTCTTTAGATGGAAATAAAATTCATATGTAATTTCATACATAATAATAAATATTTACTGTTTTTTTTTACAAACTCAGGATCTAAATTTTGAAAATCTTGTCTTCAATGATAAAGATTTCCCTATATTTGCAAGAATTTCGAAATGCTTCGATTTTAGAATTGGCAATAATTCTACAATAGTTTTATATTATTTTGCTTTCGATATTGTTCGATTATATTGATTATCGAATATATAATAAAAAAAACACAAGGTTGTTTTGAAACATAATAAATTTATTTAAATAATGTATAATTAAACATAAAACTAACAAAAACAATTAACAAAAGTAGATATATAAACTAAACAGTTTTACTTACATTAGTACTTATTACATGTGTGAAATTTATGGAAACATTCACCCTTATGAAGAGGTACGTTACATAACTGGCACATAAAACACGTTAAACTCTTTTTTTATATGAGTAGCACAAACATGGCATTGTCTTTGGGGATGTATTTTCTTGCCACCCGTTATTTTTACAATGTTATGTTTACTGGCATCCAGTAATCTCTTTGGGAATATATTTCTTCTATAAGATGTACTTGGTCCGGGATCATCAATGTTATCTTTAACATTTTCATTTATCCATACTTTGGCCACATCGTGCAGAAAAGTTTTGTATTTTATTTTTGAATTTGCATTCAGAGTTTGAAAAACTCTAAAGGCATTAAAAAGAGCTCCATTAATTAAAAACATCACTGTCCTTTTGTCCATTTTTTTGTGCGTCGTATAATAGAATAATATGATAGGTACTGATCAGCTCGATCAACACATTTCATAAATTTATTATACTCTACAACGCATGTTGGCTTCCAAATATTTTGTTTCGTATTCCAATCTACATTTCTGCTTTGTATCACACTGGCTGAATGAATTGTTGATATCATTCGAACCAGTCTTTTTGATTGCCAACATTGTACAAGAATATCTCCTCGGCGACGAAACACAGATTCATCTCTTCTCAGGGTTATATCTTGTAAATATGGAGGAAGTTCTCTATTTTTGCGTATAGTACCACAACTTCAAATTCCATGTTGTAAAAGGACTTGACAGGTATCGACACTATTGTAATAGTTGTCCATATAGACATGATGCCACAAGTTTTTATAGGGCTGTAGAAGGCGTATAATTGTATCTTGAAGCCGACTTCCTTCACCATGATAAATTTCATAATTGCATCCTGTTTTTGCTTCACAAACCATTCGAATTAGAATTCCATATTTTTGAAGCATTATACACCTTGAATAATAAGCGACCTCTCCATGGCATAATACTTTCATCTAATGACAAGTCTCGTTCTGGCTTGTATACTTGTTCAAATTTTGTTTTGAAATAAGACACTATTGGACGTATTTTATTAAGGCGATCTCTTTCATTGGTGTTATTTTCATTATTAGAAAAATGCCAAGCATACCATATTTGGCGAAA